GAATCGTCATGTAAATATCTGATATGCAGGATGGTCTTAGGCGACCCCTGTGAAAGGGTCGTTTGACCGCCAAAAGGGTCGCCCCCCACAGGTTGAGAACCGCTGGGATAGAGAGTTAGCCCACGTAGTATTCAGGTTTCAATTCTCATCAAGAGCAAATTCAATCCCAATCCCCAGCCCTGGTCGGGCATGTGAGGGAGGCAACCAATCAATGTTTCTCTCTCACTTCTCTTCCCGTCTCTTCCACTCTATAAAAATAAATGGAAAAATATCCTCGAGTGAGAATAAATAAATAAATGGAATCAGCAATAAAGAAAAAATTTTAAGCATAGCCAGAGGGGGGAAAATAACAAATATTTCATCAGCAACAATGCAAGGAAATACTATAGTGGTATTTTTGAAGTATTGAGAGAAAAAATAAACAGCAAATATATTTTTCAAAAATGAAGACAATATAAACATTTTCATACTTACAAAACCTAAAAAAAATGAATTATCAGAATTCCATTATAAAAATGTTAATGGCAGTCCTTTAAGAAGGAAAATGATCCCAGATAGAAATCTAGATATACACCAAGAAATAAGGGTACTGTACATTATAACTCATTGGGTAAACATAAAGACTTGTGTTTTTATTATTTAAAGAACTCAAAAGATAATCAACTACTTACCGCAATATTAATAATAACAATAATGTATCGTGGGATTTATCCATATGTAGTATGACTTATTTGCCTTAAGCACAATTATGATGCTATACACAACAAATGATGAAATTATTCCTCTCACCTTAGAAACATTGCTGACATAATTCACTTGAATAGTGCTTTCTTTATCAACTTGATTACAAAGGTTCTGTAAAGTAGATGCATATTCTTTATCACTTTTTATCCTCAGGGCCATAAATTTCTTCACTGTTTCCAGTAAGCGTAATTCCCAGTCTTGCAATTTTAACACAGCTTCATGTGAATTCTTCAGGTCACTCCCAAACCCCATTTTTGTAAGGCACTGTCTTATCCTCCACACTGCACAAGCAAGCCTTCTAATCAGTGCATATCTGTGTATGTAAACAGAAGAAAAAATCTTAAATCAAAAGAAAGTTTGTCTTCAAAACAAAGTTATTTTTAACTTTTTTAGGGCTCATTTTAGGGTTAAAAAAGAAATCACTACAACTGAATGCTTTCACACTAAAGATTAGGAACAAGATGAGGATATCCACCCTCACCACTTCTATTCAACACTGTACTGGAGGTTCTATTCAGTGCCATAAAATTTAGGAATAAATATTACAAAATAAATGCAAAACTTGTATTCTTAAAACTAAAAAACATTGTTAAAATAAATTAAAGAAGACCTAAATAAATGGAAAGATTCATATCCTTGGGTTCTAAAGACTTCACATTATTAAGAAGGCAATACTCACCAATTTGATCTACAGATTTAACTCAATACATATTGACATCTAAGCTAGCTTCTTTTTTTGCAGAAATTGACAAGCCAAAATTTACATAGAAATTCAAGGAAGCCAGAATAACCAAAAATTAACAAAAAATATTGAAAAAGAAGAACAAAGTTAAGAGTATTCACACTTCCTGATTTCAAGACCTACTGAGAAGCTACAGCAATAAAGATAATGTGGTACTTACATATGGTAGACATAGACATCAGTGAAGTAGAACAGAGGTTCCAGATATAAATACTCACATTTAAGGTTAAATTATTTTCTATAAGAGTGCCAAGTCTACTCAATAGGTAGAAAGGTCTCTTCAACTAATGATGCTACTGGGACAAATGGATTTCCACATATAAGAGAATGAAGCACGATTCCTTCCTTAGAATATACACAAAAAATAAACTTTACAGGGATGTAGCTCAAAATATCAGAGCTAAATCTATAAAACTCTCAGAAGAAAACAAAGTAAATCTTCATGACTTTGGCTTAGGCCAGTGATGGCGAACCTTTTGAGCTCGGCGTGTCAGCATTTTGAAAAACCCTAACTTAACTCTGGTGCCGTGTCACATATAAAAATTTTTTGATATTTGCAACCATAGTAAAACAGACTTATATTTTTGATATTTATTTTATATATTTAAATGCCATTATCCAAAGAAAAATCAACCAAAAACATGAGTACACGTGTCATAGGTTCGCCATCACTGGCTTAGGCAATGGTTTCTTAGATATAACACCAAAAGCACAAGCAATAAAACAAAAATATATAAATTGTACTTCATTAAAATTAAAAAAAAGTCTCTACTTTAAAAGCCACCACCATCAATAAAGGGAAAAGACAACCCACAAAATGGTAGAAAATATTTGCTAATCCTCTCTGACATGGAACTTCTATCAGGAATGTATAAAGAATTCTTATAACTCAATAATAAAAAGACAAACCAATTAAAATGAACAAAAGATCTGAAAAAAGATTTCTCCAAAAAGATTTACAAATGTCCAACACACACATGAAAATATGTTCAATATCATTAGTCATTAGGAAAATACAAATCAAAATCACAGTGAGATTCCACTTCACACCGCCAGTATGTCTATAATCAAAAAGACAGATAATATCAAGCATTGGACACTGTGAAGAAATTAGAGCCCTCCTACACTGCTGATGGAAATGTAAAATGAGCAGTTTCTCAAAAGTTAAACATAGAGTTATTATATTCCTCTGTTCAGTATAAACCCAGAAGAAATGAAAATATATGTCCACACAAACACATGTACAGAATGTTCAAGCAGAATTATTCATAACAACCACGAAGTGGAGTAATCTCAATGTCCATCAATTGATTAATACATAAATAAAACACGATATCTATACAAGTGAAATATTATTTGACAATGAAAAAAATGAACTATAGATACAAGCTACAACATAAATAAACCTTGTAAACATTATGCTAAGTAAAAAAGTAAGAATCAAAAGACTGACATACTCTATGATGTGAAATGACCAAAGTTTAGAGTAGTGGTTGCTGAAGGCTGACAAACTTGGGAAGAAGTGAGGAGTAACTGCTAATTGATACTGCATTTCATTTTGAGGGATAAAAATTTTCTAAAATTGAATGCGATGATGGTTGCACAACTCTTTGAACTAATTAAAAAATCAATGAATTGTACAGTTTACATGGGCAAATTTTTTAGCATGTGACTTATATGTCAATAAATTGTAGCCCTAGCGGGGTTTGCTCAGTGGCTAGAGCGTTGGCCTGCAGACTGAACAGTCCCAGGTTCAATTCCGGGCAAGGACACATGCCTGGGTTGTGGGCTCAATCCCCAGTTGGGACCGTGCAGGAGGCAGCCAGTCAATGATCTTCTCTCATCATTGATGTTTCTCTCTCTCCCTCTCCCTTCCTCTCTCTGAAATCAATAAAAAAATATTTTTTAAAAGTTATAAATGCTTTTAAAAAAAATAAAAATAAGTTATAGAAAGTCACTACAGCTTAACAAGATCATCTGAAGTTCAGTTATCAGAAACTTCCCCAAAATATTCTGCTTGTTTGCTATGAATTCTAAAAACTATAACAGAATATATTTTGCTCTCCAGCCTCCTAGAATTTCAGGCAATGAATCTTTCAGGGCCATATAGAAATAATGAAGAAACACACCTTTATATTTAGTTCTGGCTCATCCATACCAGAAGTCAATTTCTTGTTAATTCAGCTGAGATCCTCTAAGATATACAGAAAAAATGAGAAGCCGTTTATCTCTCTAACCTTAGTGATATCATCTAAAAAGATGGTAAAAATGTGGGTTGTCCAAATAGAGAAGAATTTACAACTTCCCCCCAACTGAAAACTGTCCAGTTTTATAATCTAGCAAACAAGTATGAGAGGGGGAAAGTAGTGGAAAACTGCACTTCATCCAAGTTTCCAAAGTAGCAACCAGGATACTAAATGGACTTTAACATAAATAAGTCAATGTAAAGTAACCAACTTATTCACTTAATATAGAATAGGATAATCCCAGATTTTTTCACTTTGTATATAGTAGGTTTGAATATTTTATTTTGATATACTGTATCTTTATGGGGCACAAAAATTTACAAGGAACATTTTTCTGGTATTTTACCTACAGCTCAACTAAGTGTCACTGAATATATACTCTTTCTCATTCAATATTTTCAATGAAAAAATATGGAACATTATTTGAGACTAAACAAAGGTGAAACAGCTTACTTTTTTAAAAATCATATCTGAGATTGTAGTTAATTTTATTCATTCAGCACTTGGGATAAATATCACTTCTACTTCTAATTACATCTAGCTTTGGTCTAAGCTTTGACAATATATTTTTCCTCTGTTATCAGAAATTCAAAGGGAGCTCAGAAGTATAAAATGGAAACAGAATTTAGAAGGTATCTGAGAAACACTCCAGCCCATCCTAGGTACTTATTTACCTACACTAATATTCTAGGTCAGGGTGAGTAGAAAATAATTTATTATGTACTTTAAAGTACAATAAATAGTAATTTTTAAAAATAACTCCATAATAAATTACGACTATATCTAACTCTTTAATTGGTAGAGCTTATAAATACTTTAAGAGAATAGTATCCACAAATGATTTCGCCATAGATGTCAAATGACATTTATCAGACCATTGCAGTAGTGTTTGAAATAATAAAACAAATAAAAAAGAAAAGAAAAAAAACTTGTAACTATCCTGCCAGGGGAAGTACTCTCCTTCCCTGCTAGTCCTGAGAATCCCCTTTTCCTCCAAAAGAAACTGAACCAGGCAGGAAGAACCAGCTAGAGAGACCCAGCTACAGCAAGCAGCCAGATCATGAATCTTCTTTGTGCTCACAGGTCCAAGGATCTCCTTCTCTACCCAGAGACTTCAGAGCAGGCAAGAAGAACTAGCAAGAGGGACCCAGCTTTAATAAGAGGACCAGTCCAGGAAGCTCCTTGTTCTCCATGGCCCAAGACTCTCCTCTCCTGCCCATAGACATCAGAACAGCTAGGCAGTATGGTAATGAAATCCTATCTCATCTCTTCCCTACGAATAGACATCTAATAGCTCAGCCTGAGAAAAACATCATCTGCTTGCTCAAGCAGCACTGTGAGCCATAGTGGTGACAGATAAATAAGCCAACCAAAATAACAGCAGAAAGATTAAAATTTAAACTGTTCTTAGAAGCACAGCCCACAGAAATAGGCCAGGACCTGTAAGCTAAATCTAAACAGACTGCCTATCAAAATAAAATACTGAAATAGGACTCCAAGTCTCCTAACATCCTATATAATAAAAGGCTAATATGCAAATTATCCCCTCGACTGGGAGTTCAACCGGAAGTTCAACCAGGGGGCAGGGCCAGTCAGCCAACTGCTTGCAGCCCCTTCCCCCAACAGGCCTGATTTGTACTTGCTATCCCCTAAATTTTTCCAGGCAGAAACAGAGTATTATACGTAAGTGAAGTGCTATTAGCAAAGATGTCTATTTTTCAATAGCATCATTAAAAGGTGAAAGTAGCCCAGCCAGTGTGGCTTAGGCATTGAGTATTGACCCATGAACCAAGAGGTCACTGGTTGGATTCCCAGTCAGGGCATGTGCAGGAGGCAGCCAATCAATGTTTCTATCTCTCTATCCCTCTCCCTTCCTCTCTCTAAAATCAATAAAAACATTATTTTTAAAAAGGTGAAAATAGCCCTAACTGGTTTGGCTCAGTGGATAGAGCGTCGGCGTGTGGAATGAAAGGTCCCAGGTTCGATTCTGGTCAAGGGCATGTACCTTGATTGCGGGCACATACCCAGTAGGGAGTGTGCAGGAGGCAGCTGATCGATGTTTCTCTCTCATCGATGTTTCTAACTCTCTATTTCTCTCCCTTCCTCTCTGTAAAAAATCAATAAAATGTATTTTTTTTAAAAAGGTGAAAATCCTAATAAACAACTGACTATTTAGATTTATTTAAAGCTATCTTATTTAATATTACTCAGTTTGGTTTTTAGGATCAAGTGAGTTGAGTTTTCAATTCACCATAAATAATTATTTAAAACTTTAAAAGAACTATTAAAAATTTCTATATTCTCAAAATTAAAAGTTCATTTTGT